TTACATCAAGACCCTGATTGTTTTTAATACAAAGACTTCTGATAAATACGGAATTCGACGGCACGAATAATTTAACAGACTATATCTTTGGTATAATATAAAAAGGGCATCTGCCTGATGGGACAAATCTTTGGTTACTTCGGTAAGAGAACGGAAGAAAATGACAATTCGGAAGAGGGCTTTCCAGCTTTTATGCAATAGTTCCCACTCGCGGAAAAAGGGCGCAAAGCAGTGAGTAGCCAATACGGATGTTTAGAAAAATGTAGGTCGTCTTCTAGACCAATCTGGAGCCGAGCTATTTTAGTTAACCAATCAAATTTAACCGAACAGGCCCTAGGTTATTGAACTTTGCCTCGAGTGGGGTCACTATGCGTTGGATATCCCTCTTTAGAGTCGTTCTTATATAATACAAATTCGAAGAATTATTACATAAGTTGAATTTTGTTATTAACAATTCGTACGTTTACAATTGATTTATGCATAAACATCGCCATAATGTTGTTAAATATAATTTTTGTTTATAGGAGAATTTATCTGTAATAATGTTCACACATGAAATTATATAGTAATATAAATATAATTGGTTGAAAAACTTATCGTAAGAATATCTAATTGTTTAAACGATTTCAACTTTGATTTGATTTAATATTAAAATCTCATTTAGTGGGATTAATGGAATATACACATAAGATGACTAATACCTTGAGGTCAACAGGAGTTATTAAGCATTCTTTCGCGTTTCTCTTATTCTCTGTCGTTATGATACGTTCATATCGCTTAGAGTGTCGAAAGCTTAACACTTCTGTCGTCAACAAGTGCATGCTTGTTTGTATACGATGCATGTGACAAATATGTTACATTAGAATTTGCAATAAGAAAAGAAAAAGTTACTGCAAACGTAACATTGTTATTTGTCGGGTTGTTGTTAAAGAGTCGAGTAGTTTATTAATTGAGATTAAAAATTAATTGGCGCCTGACGGCGAACTTTATTAACTTAAATTTCATATCATTATTTTGTTGAAAGCGTCGGATTTTGCCTGACGTTTAGCAGCAACTTTGAACTAGAATTAAAATAGTTTAAAATCATACGTCACAAAATACAAATGTCAGAAAATTAACAAATATACCATTCGAAAGATTATTAAATTCTACGATTAATGATACATGACTGGAAATTTAAATAATTTATACAAAGGTTGCAGCAATCAACAAGATTCACAAAAAAATTGAATTGAATAGGTGTAATCATTAAAGTCTCAACTTTAATTTAAGACCAAAACAGTCTATTAACTATTTTTTTTTTTTTTTATTAACAGTCTATTAGTTTATTGCTGTAATCTTTGTATAAATTATTAAAATTTTCAGTTATGTATCATTAATCGTAGAATTTAATAATCTTTCGAATGGTAAATTTGTTAATTTTCTAACATTTGTATTTACAAAAAAATCGTGATTTAAAGATTTATATGTTTTTGGGCCGTGCGCGTTCAGCCGTACCGATAATTCCCGACGGTAGTGTAACTTTAAAATTATCGTTATCAACTTGTAAAGCATTAAAAAACGCTTCGATTAATCTATTTTTGAACCTAATTTGATAATAAATTTCGAAATTATTGGTATTTTAAAAACCAAAAATTGTGAAAAATGACATTTTCTCAACTTTTTTGTTTGAAAATTTTTATTTAACTATTAAATTATTGTAACTATCTTGTAGGGTATTTAAAAATACATTGATTGACTCAAAATTCAATCACTTTGACCATATTTATAAACAGTTATTCATATATTTATATTATTTTTATCTCCATAAGGAAGTAAAGTGTTCATGAAATAAGCACCAAAATTATAAAAAAAATATACAACTTAGGAGCGGTTTTTTATTTCTTTATTCAAATTTTGGCCTGTAAGAATTCTGTGGGGTAATGGGAGAATTAGTGTCAGCCCAAAGAATCTTCGTTACTATGTTACTAAGGCTTTCGTTATTTCTTTACAAATTGTAAAAGATATCATCTTATCAAAAAACTTTTAATTAAAAAATAATTTTTCGTGGAAAAAATGAAAAATTAAACTTTTTTTCAAAAATTTTTTATTCAATTATAATTTAGGAAAAACTTTATTCTAAGTCTAAAGTTTTGGCTTCATTGTAAGTATTAACACTTTTTTCTATTATAGAAAACCAAAAATATTCCTAAAAAATAGAAATTTTTTAAATTTCAAGTGAAAGGTCCCAATACCCCACAAATTGGATGATAGCAAAAAATGTATTTTTTTTGAAAAAATTTTTTTTCCCATTTACTTTCTATTTTCAAGTTTCTAATTAAACATAATTTTAAAGATAAATAACGAAATGAGTAGAAAATGACGAAAACAATGTATATTATTATAAAGATAAATTGGTTTTTTAAATAATTTTCTTTAAGGGGCTCCAATTTCCCCACGCTTCCCTACTTGTCCAAATTGTGATTCAGATTAATTTCATTTTCTTACTTTTTCTTTCCTAATTTTAAACTAATAATTAAACATTTATAACATTTTTAATATTTCTAACCATTTAATATAGTATATTAAGCAACAAGGGTATAAAGGCAGCCATTTGTTTACGGTGATTTTTGTTACACGAGTGGAGGTCGAGGGCGCCCTCGACCTCCACTCGTGTCACAAAAATCATCGTAAACAAATTGGCTGCCTTTATTCCCATGTTACTTACGATATTTTTTATTCCTAATGCACAAAAGTGGCGATTTCAGATAGCAGACGACAGGGGGTAAAAGACATTCACTTGTTTGACTTGTATGAAAATGGCGGCCGTTTTCTCCCTTGGGCAAAAATAATGCATGCGATCAGCTATTACTTTTTGCACATGGGAGAAAATGGTCGCCATTTTCATACGGTCGAACAAATGAGTGACTTTACTCCCTGTCGTCAGCCATCTAAAAGCGCCATTTTTGTGCATGTGGAATAAAAAATATATTTCATCGTTATTTTTGATTTTGAACTCAATTTTGGCAGCAGTGGCCCACAATTCCCCAACATTTTTAAAAATCATAAAATTGCACTTTTTGGTAAAACATAAATTTCTTTAAGGTAAGTGATAATTTTGGAAAACTGACTATGATATATGTTAGTTTATACCTCCTACTGACACGAAAAATTTGAAAAAAAATTGTGTGTAAGATATTGGGCTAAAAAAAGTGTGGCCCACAATTCCCCAATCTCCCTTAATTAAAATGTGATGACCCTCGACATCTCATAAGCAAGCTTCAAAATCAATTTTTATTCATTTCTTTGTGTATGCTTACATAATAATATATTAATATAAATAATTTAGAGCATTTTTAACAAATAACAATCAAAATATTTAAATAATTTCCATGTTTTTTTATTAATTTTCAGTTGTCAAATTAACCTTTTCAAAACAATTTAAATCAAAAACAATTTTCCCAAATATTATCAAGAATCTTGTTAAGAACAATACAAGATCAAGATTTGAATTGAAAGTCGAGATAAATTCTTGTGCTTGAAGTTTTTCTCGTTTGATCTCGCTAGAATGCATCTCTAGCCTGTCCAAGTACCTGTGATATAAAATTTTACAAGGAGACCTATTGTTCGAACTGTTCCGTAGGTTAGTACCCAGGAAAAAAACCTATTTTCTATTTTTGAATCAGTCTTAATCTCTAATGAATCTGCATTCTTAAAAGGCGAAGACAGATTGACACCGATTATTTGCAGCATTTTTTGAATAGGATATCAATAACACAGGCACACAAAAAAATAAAAAGTCGTGACCCAGAGGACATACTCCCATATCCTTATGTTTTTGGGGTCGCTGAAACTGGAAACGACCACCAAAAACAAATGCGTCCCTCCCTATACCCCTCAGATCGCTCTTCAACGAAAAGTCGAATGTGGTGTATATTCCTATGTTTTTTTGTGCCTGAAACAAAAACAACCAAAAAAGAATTCGTCCCCTCCTCCTCCCCATAGCACTCCCTCAGTATCCCTAGGTAGAAGGTTAAACTTTACGGTTTCATGAAAGGTCGTGTATACTTTTCATAAAAACCAAAAATTTTAACCCCCTTTAGGGGTAGTAAGAGAGTGCTAGGGGGTAAAGGAGAGTACTAATTTATTTTTGGTCGCCCTTTTCAGTTTTAGGGACCCAAAAAACATAAAACTAGACACCACATTTGACTTTTCGTGAAAATTGTAATTTTAACCCCTTCTAGGGGTGTATTTAGGGCGTTCTGGGGGAAAAGGGAGGGACGCATTTGTTTTTGGTGGTCACGACTTTTTATTTATTTTGTGTGCCTGTGTAATTTGAATCGGAATAACAAACTTTTTATTGTCCGATTCATAATGTGGTATGAATCGGAAATATATTATTAACGAACATTCTTCTAAGGTGGCGTTGAAAGAGAATAGTATGATAAAAGTATGTTGACAGATAAATAAATATATTATTTTTCAAAATAAATTAACAAATTATAATCATTTTTAAAATAAACGTTTTATTAAATATTTACAAAAAGAAAAATGAAAAGTATTATTCAGTTGAAAACTTGTTCGCACTAATAATATATTCAAACACTTCGTGCTAAAAATGTTCATCAAACATCGCAGATTTCAATTTCAATATAATAAAAATTGTACAGTCTCTTCAAATCTTTCAGCAAGCTGACTTAATGTTCACGAATCTAAGCATTCGATAACATAATTGTCTATTATTGCACTTTATTTATTATATTATTAACCGCATTTTGAAAAACGTCACAAACCAAAGCGTGGCATTCTTTATCAAGATGGTAAACGTTATATAGTTAAAAAAATTTTTTGAAAATTACCATTATTAGAAAATGACCTTTATTTCGAAAATTAAAAAATCACATTCATTAGAAAAAAGTTTTTTAGAAATTCACCTTTATTAGAAACAAAAATTTTAGAAAAACTGTACCCCAACCACAATTTCCACCGGTAGTGTAAATAAGATCCATGGAAAGCAAAGATTTGTACTAAGAGTTTTATTAACTTTTTAAAACAGTATTTTAGTGCTCAAAGATTGCATACAATCTACCGTTTTATAGTAACTCAATTTTTTAAACAAACGTGTAATATATTAAATAATCTTCAGATTCGAAAAAATTTATTTCTTCTCTAAAGCTTGCTCAGAAAGACTTTTTCTGAAATTTGGAAATTGTTCCCAAGGTGTAGAAAGCTCAAATTTGCGAAATTCTTGTGCCAACTCAATTGGCTCAGCAACTACTCTCTTCTTTTCATCGTCGTATCGAATCTAAAATCACATTGAAATTGGATAATATTTAAAATAATCTTAATATTTAGTTTTAATACTTTTATTTAATAAATGAGCCGCCGGAAAGTAAAACCACATATAAAATTTGTTCAGTCGTTTTCATTGGCCTATAATATCTAAAAAATCAATGTTTTAAACAAAAATTGTAGCCAAATTCATCTTTTGAAAACAGAAAAAATTAATTAAACTGAAATTAGTGTTTGGCACATTGATTATTCAGGCATCAAGGACCAATAAAAATGTCTGTACAAATTTTATATGTGGTTTTACTTTGTGCTCAAATTTTAAATGAAAACATTGGGAGGTGCACTGAGAAAAATGGAGTTTGAAAAACTGGGAGTCAATATTGAAAAATAGGACTCAGTCCAATAAAAGTACATTAATTCATTTCCATCAAGCATCTTAGGGTGATACGTATAGTGTATAGAGGGCCTTAGTTCCAAATTTCACTTTAAAGAGCATTGAAACACAGGCGAAGATTATAAGGCGCGCTGCAGTGTGCTTAGTAGAGTAAAGGGACTCAGTACCGTACTTCGAAACTTTCACAATAAAGGAAGTTAGGTAGTTACGCAGGCACGTAACCTGTCAAAATAAATAGCCGACGTGACGCGAAGAGAGTGTTTCTGTTTATTCACTTCGTCAATTTTATATAAAAAAACAATAACCAATCGTTAAAAAAAGAAAAATATGTTAAATGCACTCTTTATAAATTCATATTCATTAATTCACAAGTTTTATTCTTTCCACATCTTCATACTTACAATTAACAACATCGGAAAAATCAGCATCGGAAAATCTTACAATCATACGGGATTGGACACCTACCTAACCATACAACTAAATATACGCATAATTATAAATCGCACGCTTTTACATTAAGCCTCTCCGCTACGCAATCGATGGGGAAAATTTCCTATTTAAGAAACATCCTTTACCAATGAAATAAATTAGATTATGTGTGAATTTTACTATGTAATTAATGTAAGTATGGATGTCAACAATATTCATAATATTGAATAAATAATATTGTCAACTAGTTTAAAATTTGATACGGTTATTGAAATTTAATAATAAATAAATAAAGAACATCAACTTTTTCTTAATAGCAAAAATAGAATTAATATTTGTAGAGTTTATACAAAATAGTGAATTGTCCTTGAATTATAGAGAATCATTGATCTAATTTTTTGAGCTCCTGGGAGTTGAGTGAAGTTAGCATTTTTTATGAAAAAATGACAAATTAGAGTATAAAAACATGTAAATCATGATAAAACTTAATAAAACAACTTTTTTGTAATCATTTAGAATCACTGAATACAGAAATAAAGTTAGTGTTTCGAAATTCAAAATGGTGAATTCAAAATAGCGGATGAAATTTTCAAAATTTAAAAAAAACTTCTGATTTATCCAAGTTGTGGTATTTTAACGTTTCCGAGGTCGCTAAATCCAAATATGATAGTAAAATTAAAAAATTCAAAATGGCGGACCCAATATGGCGGACTAAAGTTTTTTTATATTTTAATTCGACACATTTTAAAAGTAACAACTTTATTTTCTTACACGTCAAGCGCAGTCAAATTCTAAGGTTAACTTTTAAAAAAAGAATAACAGAAAAACAATTGAAATCAGAAAAAATGTTAAACAACTGTAATTCAATTTACAAATAAGTACATACTTTCAAGGAATTAAAATATATTAAAACAAAGAGAGTAAAGTATTGGTTTAAATAAAAAAACACCAGTTGCACTATTTCCAATAGCCACAAAAAATGTAAACTTTGGTACAAATCGAATCTTAAATTGGAAAATTAAAATATTATATTCTGCATAAAATCATAAAGTACAAAATCATGTTAAAATTTAAGTATTTTTAAACACTTTTTGTTCGCCATTTTGAATCTTTTAATTTTACCATCATATTTGAATTCAGCGACCTCAAAAATATTATAGTACCAAGTATTATTAAAATCAAAGCATTTTAAAAAAATTTGGTAAGCCATATTGGGTCCGCCATTTTGAATTTTATAATTTCACCATCATATTTCAATTCAGCGACCTCGAAAACATTATAGTACCAAACATTATTGAAATCAAAGCACTTTTAACAATTTTTTTCCGCCATGTTGAGCCCGACATTTTGATTTTAAAAATTTTTACCATCATATTTGAATTCAGCGAGCTCTAAAACGTAAAAGTACCAAGTCTTATTGAAATCGAAGCACTTTTAAAAAATTTCATCCGCCATATTGGATCCGCCATTTTGAATTTTTAAATTTTATCATTATATTTGGATTCAGCGACCTCGAAAACATTGAAATACCACAATTTGGATAAATTAGAAGTTTTTTTAAATTTTGAAAATTACATCCGCAATTTTGAATTTCGAAACACCAACTTTATTTCTGTATTCAGTGATCCTAAATGATTACAAAAAAGTTGTTTTATTAAGTTTTATCATGATTTACAGGTTTTTATACTCTAATTTGTCATTTTTTCATAAAAAATGCTAACTTTACTCAACTCCCAGGAGCTCAAAAAATTAGATCAAGGATTCTTTATAATTTTCCTCTATTCTACATTTATTTAGCTTTATTTTGGTCCAAGGTTCATTCATTTTGGTCAATTCCTTCAAGAGAAATTAGGTTTTGAACGCAAAAATGCAAAAATAACATACTGTGGCACCGTAAAGTTATACAAAAATGGATCTAACTTCGGTCAACGAAAACTTGTAGGATTAGGCTTATATTTTCCAAATTTTCAAACTGTGAAATTGCCCCAGCTCCTTTTATTCAAATAAAATGAATTTTCGTATTTTTTGCTGTTTTATTAATTTCGAGTGAAAAATTAGTATTATCATGAAAATAAAAAACAGGATAGAAAACTTTATCTACAAAATAAAAAATCAATTGAATCGTCAATTTCGAAAAGGGCTCAACTCGAATTTTTTCAAATTTCACTTTTTTGCATTATTACATATCCATTGGCGATTTATTAAAAGGAAAATTTCATCCAAGAAGGCTAGAGACAGGAGGTGAAACTTCGGTAGTGGAGATGAGTCAAGAGCCTTTCTTTAACCAGGCGTTTTTCGTTTCAAAAAGTCGCCGGCGCGGTGCTTCTGCACATCACTTATACACTCAAATTCTTGTATACCGTGTGTTTCACATGTGTATGATATGATTTTAATTTGAGGTTAACTTTAAACTGCAATTAAGACACAATGTGTGTCATAACGGATATATATAGAAATAATGTGAGTGATTATTAAATTAAGTGTTATTAAGTTATTTATTGTTATTAAGTGTTACCATAGGTGTACTGACGGAACCCTTATGAAATCACTCGTGTGTCCGTCCCAGCTACGCAAAATGGGCTGTCCCCCCCTTAACTTCTACAAATCTCAACCTGGTGAGTTGAAATTCGGTAGGGATCTTCAGTTTTAAGTGTAGATTACAGGAAAAATATAGCGAACCCGATTGACAAACATATTTGCGAACTAGGAGGGAAAGAATTTCAAGTTTTTCGAAAAAATTGCAAAAAATGACCCTGTCCCCCCTCCCTTAACTTTTACAAATCTCAACCTTATGAGCTAAAATTCGGTAGGGATCTTAAGTTTCAAGTGTAGATTACAGGAAAAATATAGCGAACTCGATTGACGGACATATTTGCGAACTAGGAGGGAAAGAAATTCAATTTTTTCGAAAAAATTGCAAAAAATGACCCTGTCCCCCCCTTAACTTTTACAAATCTCAACCTAGTGAGCTGAAATTCGGTAGGGATCTTCAGTTTTAAGTGTAGATTACAGGAAAAATATAGCGAACCTGATTGGTGGAAATATTTGGGAACTAGAAAGGAAAGAAATTGAATTTTTTTGAAAAAATTGGAAAAAATGACCCTGTCCCCCCCCCCTTAAGTTTTACAAATCTTATCCTGTTGATCTGAAATTCGGTAGGGATCTTAAGTTTCAAGTGTAGATTACAGGAAAAATATAGCGAACTCGATTGACGGACATATTTGTGAACTAGGAGGGAAAGAAATTCAATTTTTTCGAAAAAATTGCAAAAAATGACCCTGCCCCCCCCTTAACTTTTACAAATCTCAACCTAGTGAGCTGAAATTCGGTAGGGATCTTCAGTTTTAAGTGTAGATTACAGGAAAAATATAGCGAACCTGATTGGTGGAGATATTTGGGAACTAGAAAGGAAAGAAATTGAATTTTTTTGAAAAAATTGGAAAAAATGACCCTGTCCCCCCCCCTTAACTTTTACAAATCTTATCCTGTTGATCTGAAATTCGGTAGGGATCTTAAGTTTCAAGTGTAGATTACAGGAAAAATATAGCGAACCTGATTGGTGGAGATATTTGCGAACTAGGAGGGAAAGAAATTCAATTTTTTCGAAAAAATTGCAAAAAATGACCCTGTCCCCCCCCTTAACTTTTACAAATCTCAACCTTATGAGCTAAAATTCGGTAGTGATCTTAAGTTTCAAGTGTAGATTACAGGAAAAATATAGCGAACTCGATTGACGGACATATTTGCGAACTAGGAGGGAAAGAAATTCAATTTTTTCGAAAAAATTGCAAAAAATGACCCTGCCCCCCCCTTAACTTTTACAAATCTAGTGAGCTGAAATTCGGTAGGGATCTTCAGTTTTAAGTGTAGATTACAGGAAAAATATAGCGAACCTGATTGGTAGAGATATTTGGGAACTAGAAAGGAAAGAAATTGAATTTTTTTGAAAAAATTGGAAAAAATGACCCTGTCCCCCCCCTTAACTTTTACAAATCTTATCCTGTTGATCTGAAATTCGGTAGGGATCTTAAGTTTCAAGTGTAGATTACAGGAAAAATATAGCGAACCTGATTGGTGGAGATATTTGCGAACTAGGAGGGAAAGAAATTCAATTTTTTCGAAAAAATTGCAAAAAATGACCCTGTCCCCCCCCTTAACTTTTACAAATCTCAACCTTATGAGCTAAAATT